TAAAATGCCCAATTTCAGCCTGTAGGTTCTTAAATCACTAGGTTCTTATACGCGGGTGTTTACTGTATATCAAAATGCTTTGTTGGGTGGAAAGACCATTCGATTTAATAGACCATATTCTTATTCTCGATATTGGGCTAAACTAGCTTGTGGCTGAGGCTAATGTGGAGAGTCGGCTTTTCAAATGCAAATAGAATTGATCGCTTTTTAATGAAATTTCCCTGCATAAGCCTCCCCTGCAAGCTAGTTTCTGTCCAATACGGAGAATACGAATATGGTCTATTGATACCGTCTTTTTAGCGGAGCTCCTGCTCACCGACGGCCTGCGAACTGAGCCCCATACCTTAGAAAATTTGGTAACCCATCGGTCTAAAAAATTCTGGCTGTCACGTGACCGTATGTACGTACTTACGACTGTCCGTACGTACGTACGCCACATGCTTCGCTCGTGCGCGTGCTGAGCCCCATACCTTGAAAAATAAGAGAGTAGCTATTACCACAGGTACGTCTTTGATACTGGACATCCAAGTTATGGTTAATTGACAGCTGTAAAAACAAGGTATCCGCTTACCAGTATCACGTGACCATGGCGCTGGCCCAGGTTTAGAGCTCATGGAGGTCACGTGCTTTTTTTGATTGGAAACTGGCCAGGTACTGGTTTTCGATAGGATCGCAAGCTCAAGCCAGGTTAATTTCTTGTTATCAGCAGCTCCGCTTTTAGGCTTGGCTGTATCTATATTTTAAAGGCAACACATTGAAAATTGGGGTGCAAAGTTTTCAGCAAAAGACCCACCATCTAACTTTTTTAAATAATCAAGGAGGCTTAATCTCATAAGTAAAATAACACCTTGATTAGTAAAGTGGTTTTGGAATCTTTGCGCTACCCGGCAACAAGTGTCAACAGCTAAATGACCAATAAACGCGTTAAGTTTGTTAACAAAATGCCACCAAACACCAGGCAAACACGGCTGTAAAATAACAGTGCACCAGTCGTCAATTGTGGTGGCCTGGTTAGTAATTACAATTCTGAAGTCACCTTTCTCTGCAGGAAATATGAACTGCAGTCCATTAAACACGTAGAAAAGAAAGAAGACCATAGACATGGAAGCAGATATCTTCTTGAGCTTGCAGTCAGAGATCTTATCGATGGCACCAACTATATCTTGGCAGAATACGTATTCCAGCCGCGAGGTAAATACGATTCTCTATGTTACCCCAAAGGCCTGCAGTGGGACAGGACAGCGGATGTTTATCTTATCCTCACGGCCAAGAACCTGGGTCGATGGGTTC